GGGATTCCACATTTCAATTACTCTATTTTTGTATGTTTACGTTTTCCATTATAAAACATTTTTTAAAAATTTTACCCATGGTGTTAGAAGTCAGGATAATGGTTACCTTTAAGGAGAAAATGGGAGCCACAATAAGGGCTTCCTGAGTGGGAGGAATGTTTTATTTCTTACATTAGTTTACTTGGTTCATCAATCTATACATTATGATTTATGCACGTTTCTGTATATATTATTCTGCAACCAAAATGTATTTTTTAAAAAGCAAGAAATCCACTCTTCAGTGCAAGGGAAGACACTATGGTAGAAGTGAAGGTACTACAGCATCACTGAGAAAGCTGTTTTTCAGCATAAAGGCAATGGCCCTAAATAAGTGTCAGAATATGGTCTCAGTTTCCTCATCCATAAGGGGGAATAGCAGCAGCTGCATTAGCTGGCTGTTGTTGAGCATTAAATGGGATGGCACCTATGAAGCGCTTACAACAGAACTAGCAAGGAATGAAGGTTGCCTTTGACTCTTATGTCTGAGGACCTGCCCTGCATTCATGGCCTGCTTGATCCCTAAAATGCAGTGTAGGTACTAAATAGCACTCCTGGTTTTAATCAAAGAGCTCCGCAGCAATAAATTACCCTCATACTGGGAGCTGGACAGATCCCTATTTGCCCGCCCCCAAGGCTCTAATAGAAAACCACTAATGAGACTGAACAGGAGGCACCAGAGCCTCACGCCCATCAGAGAAAACACCGAACACCTCCCCCGCAAGTACTCTGCGTGGAGACGAAATCACTTAAGCAGATGGAAGCCAAAGCCCCACACCCACACCCACACCCACACCCAGGCATCTTCCCTCTCCCACCCCGCTCCACTCCACCCCACGCCCTCCAATAACGGCGCGCGGAGCAAAAGCCTCATATCGCCCCTCCTCCTTCCCCCAATCAGCGAGCCCGCACCAGGTCGCAGCGCCCAATCACAGCGCTCCACATGCTAAGGGCAGCACTCCGCGCAAGCGCGTATGGAGGTGGCTTCCGGAAAGGTCCGCACCCAAACTCCAAGTTCCAAAGGCTGCGCAGCGGTCTGGGCAGAGGCGGCGCTGCCACCTACTGCACGATCTTCGGGATGCAGCCCCAGGCGCGGTGCCTGAATTCTCAGGACACACATCTGAACCCAAACACTCAAGAGTTAGGGAATACATGCAATACTACCACACGGGTGCGAAAGTTTTAATTACATTTTATTACACAGCAGAAAAAAAATACTGTCTCAAAGAATCTCTTTTTTTTCCCAAGCAGTTTGAGTTTCCAAACCTTACCTCATACCCTAATCTTTTATATAGGAGTAGAATCAAGGGGCCTAGAAATTCGTTCATTCCACATTTCTGGAGCACCTATTATATGGTAGGGCATGAAGTGAAGCAGGCATTATCATCATCCCTAATTTATGACTACAGGAACAAGGTTAAATGACATAGTTTCTGAAAGCTGGCTTAACTAGGGCTCACATCCAGATGTCTGCCCCCAAGGGCAGACTTTTCACCACACCAAACGTCACAATGATGGTATAAAGTGCTGTAAGAATACAGGGTGAGGAAAAAATTCTGACTGGATAGGGATTCAGAAGGTATGTACAGAGGATATTCAAGGAGGGTAGTCTTCAGTAAACGGTAGCTGTTAACGCTTTTCCAAGTATACTAATCTTAACAAAGACAGTTACCTACATTTGATATTTTATTTATTGCAGACTTACTATACTCATTCTTTGGCAAACAGCTTTTGCTTATTCAGGATCTATGTAAAAGTCCCTGTAAATCTGTCCCCTAATAACAAAGAGCTGACTATATCCTATTCCAAGGCACCAAATATAATGGTCTTTTCTAATTTTCCCTTCATGCCTAGGAAAGCATTAATAATAGCTTTCCTGAAATTCTTCATTTTCTTCTCTGCACTTCCACAGCACTTTTCTTACAGTTCATGCATGGCATATCAGAACACGCTTTGCAATATAATCAATGGAGTCCATGTTGGTTTCATCACTGGAACAGTGGTTCCCAAAAGGAGTACTAATGGCCCCAGAGGACAACTAGAAATATGGGGGTGTTTTCTGACTATCACAGTGACTGCAGGGAGTACTGAATGGGCAGAAGATAGGAAAATTAGATACCCTGCAATGCACAGACTGTCCAACACATCAAAACATTGTCCTTGTTGGGGGCCAGAGTTTTCGGTATAGAAGGCTGATACAAATATGGCCTAGAAAAGGCAAGGAGCTCTGTGGGGATGAACTGGAATTGGAGGTTTCAGCATGAATTCATTATTTGTAAAATATGAAAACGTAAGCTTATATGCATGTATGTGCATATATGTTTATGTGGCTATGTATACTTATTTTTCCTAGTTCTAGCCACTGAATAAGCCAAAAGGCAAAAACTCCACAGTAGCAAGAGGACAACTTGTGCACAGATCTTGGTTTCTAATACCATTCCTTACTAAAAGGAACCAGGACTCTTTGGAGAAATAGTTGATTCCAGGGCTAGAGCAGGAAAGGTACAAGATGGAAAACTGGGAGTCAGGTTGAAAGGACTTCTACCAGCCAACACTGAAACAATGTGACCATCCAAATAACAAGGATGGTAACGAATCATTAAAAGAAAAAGAGGAATCCACAATCCACAAGACCAAACTGATAATAAAGAGAAAGAAATGGGAGGGAATGGAAGGCTCTTACTTACATTAGAATATTGAGTACTAATTACTAAATGTGGAGGTATTAACGAATTGGAAAACCATCATTTTGCAACCACCATAGTAAAGATTGATTCAGGCAAGAAGCTAAATGGATACTAAACTTAGGGGGAAACTTCCTATAAGCAGCAGGACAGTGGCATGATACTAAAGTATCTCTCCACAGATTGCCCATTAGTCACAAGGGAGAAAAACAGTAACTCTCCAGAGGAAAAATCACACACACTTGACTGGGTGATCAAAGTTAACCTCACCAGTGAGGGCAGATGGACATCGGGTGTCTCCAGATGAGAAGACATCCTGAGATGGACACAACATTACTGACAACATTCTGGCCAGGGGACCCTTCCTTGAAGAAATACAAGACAAATCCCAAGAGAAGAATATTCTATTAAAAAAAGGGACTGGCTTCTTAAAAAATGTCAGGTAGTATACACCAAAGCACTCAGTTTAACGGGCTATAACATATGTAACAAACTCTCAAATGGTTAAAAAAAAAATGTGTGTATAGAGAATGAGAAGGCAAAAACAAAAGGGTCAAAATGATGACAACTGGTGAATCTGGGCAAAGAGTATACAGATGCTCTTTGTATTATTCTTACAAGTTTTTGTAAGTTTAAAATAATTTACAAATAAAAGTTAAAATATTTGCCCCATGTACCATGGCATCTATGACACGGCAGACATTAACACGAATAAAAAAAAAAAATCAACCTGTTGACAATGGACAGAACTAACTCCATTTTACATATAAACAAAGGCAAAGTACTTTTTGGGGCGAAATTTGAAAATAAGCTGAATTTTCCATAGATGCAACTACCATGTAAACTGAAGACAGTAATTAGACTTGTTCAGAACTTTACCAAGGGGGTTCACCATTTTGTGAATTAAACTGTGTCCCATATGATAATGCCACTCCTGGTATTGGACCTTGCCGGTATACCATATCTGTACCCATCTGCATTTCTATCTATTCACAGTGATTCTACATTTCAGTGCAAGTATGTAGTTACTTACCTTCAGATTCTCCACAGCTCTGCTTTGGTTAGCCCCTGCCTACATAGCCATTCCAGGACATACAAACCAATTTTGCTCTTGCAATAACATCATGAGGGGAGAAAATTATGAGTTCTTTGAAAGCCCTCCCCACCCCAAGCTTGGCCATCACAGACAGCTACAAAAGAATGTCTCCCTCCTCCTTCCCCCCACTTATTAGAAGAATCCATAAACACAGGAAGACTTTATTCTTTAACATAAGCCCAAAAAAAGCAGAGAAAGAAATCTGGGGGAGAATATTAGATCAGCACTAGAATTGATCAAAAAATTACATCAGTCCCATAAAACTATCAGCAATCATCTGACTTTATCATGTCCTCATGATGTTACATATAATGTATATTACATATATGAAGTATTTATATTTCTACAAAATGTTCATAGGGTCAGTGACTTCTTTTAGAGATTTCATTTTATTTAGAGACAGAGCAAGAACACAAGTGGGGAGAGGGGCAGAGGGGGAGGGAAAGGGAAAGAGAATCTAAAGCAGACTCGATGCTGAGCGCAGAGCCAGCCATGGGGCTTGATCTAACAACCCTGAGATCATGACCTGAACTAAAACCAAGAGTTAGAGTCAATGCTTAACTGACTGAGCCTCCCAGGCGCCCCTAGGCCTTGTTATTTTAGGAAAGGCTGCTACCTGTGTTATATGACCTAGAGAACAAGGAAAGGGAAGAATAATTAGGAGCCTACTGCCTGAGAAGATGTTAGCTAACTATTTTTCCTAAATGGTTTGTATGAAATTATAACACTGCTTTCAAATCTATTACATGGTAATAAAAAGAGTCAGAAAGAGCTCTAAAGACCACAAGTAAAAAAATTACAATAAAAAAGGATGAAAATATATCTTTTTCTCTGCAGATAATATAAAACAGAGACAACCTGCATGGTAACTAACTATATGACTAAAATGGATAAAAAACAAGAAAGAAGAGAATTGTTTACATAATTTAGGGAGACTAATCAAGGCAAAAATTAAATAGAAATTTTCAGGATAGCAAAAATGATTTTGCCACATGTAAAATAATATAATAAATAAATAAATATAATAAATAAATAAAATAATCTAATTCTTTGTAAGACTTAAAATGTGCTTATATGAATGGGATCATCATAAAAGCATGATTTCATAAATACATCATACGAACATGATGGTAAACATACAGAGTGAATGACATGACATATCTAACAGCTCAATAGGTACCTACCAAGGTGACAGTGTTCTTTTTCTCTTGCTTCCCATTTATGGCTGTCCACATATGCTGCAGAAAGCAGTCCTCTTTCACCTGAGGAAAAAAGTCAATTATTAACAGGTGTGGCTTCGCAACGGGTTCAGTTTATATGTCTTATTAAACATAGCTTTGTCATACTTTCAATGTACTAGGTTATGTAAAGATTCTAGTATGATACTATAACCAATATCGCAGAGTTCATAATTTAGTTCATGACAACATGCATTCCACCTCTAACAAGTAGAAGATACAGAAAAACCGAAAATTTCTACAATAATGTTACGGGTAAGAATGTTGGTAATTTTGTTCCTATAACTTTAGTACTAGAAGCCATTTGTTGCCCCTACATTATAGCCTAAGTGAGCCCTAGAACTCCTTCTTATAACCCAAATACTTGCTGAACTGTTGATTAACTCATTAACGGAATGCTTTATAATCATTAGCCCTAAAAACATTTCCATCTGACTTGGATCAGCATATTTACCCTCACTCACATAAAGCAAAGAGTATCTTACCCAGTAACCAAGCACCCTACTGGTAAATAAGAGAAACCTAACAAGCCAGAGTTGAGGTAACTCACTAGATGGTATAACTGTATTCCCAGAACCTGGCACAATGACTGGTATACGGCAATGCTCGATAAACATAAGCTCAAGGAATGAATGAGCAGCAACTTAACCAAAACTAGAACCTTTTGTGTTTTAAAGGACACCATTAAGAAAGTGAAATGCCAACTCACAGAATGGAGAAAATATTTGCAAATTACTTACCTGATAAGGGACTTATATCCAGAATATGTAAATGGCTCTTACAACTCAAAATTTAAAAAGACAACCCACTGAAAAATGGGCAAAGGATTTGAACAGACATTTCTTAAAAACAAAAATGCACAGATAAATGGCCAAGTACATGGAAAGATGTTTAATATGATTTGCCATTAGGGAAATGCAAAGTACACTGAAATACAACTTGATACTCTCTCTAGAATGACTATAATAAAAAAGACATAGTAACAGCTATTGATAAGGATGTAGAGAAACTGGAACCCTCATATATTGTAGGTGACCAGCCACTTTGGAAAAGTTTGATAGTTCCTCAAAATGTTAATGATGTGGAAAACAAAGACAGAAGAAAAATTATTAAATTTCCTTACTACCTACAGCCACTGACAAGTCCTTGAAACAGGTAGAGTGACATTCCTCAAGGACTCAACTGCCTTTACGTTGATACTTTGCTAAGGACAAAAGGCAATCTTGGCCCAACCCCCAGGTCCCTGTAAGTCTACTTTCACATATAAGAATTCCTTTGGAAACTTCCTTTATCTTGACCCCTCAGGATACATGTTGGCAATTATCCCCCAAGTATATGAACCATTGATAGACATCTGAGGGTCTCAGACTGAGTTTTTACTAAACAGTAATAAATGACCTTTCCTAACAATAGCTAGCCCCTCAGGATCCTGGAAACCTTGTTTCCAAAATACCTGGGAGGCTTACATTATCCCTAACCCCCTCCCAGCTTGAAAGTATATAATGGGTGACTCCTCATGACCCCAGTGCAGCTCTTTCTGCCCTCTCGTCCTCGCGCTTTAATGAAAGCACCTTTTTGCACCAAAGACGTCTCAAGAATTCTGTCTTGGCCTTCGGCTTGGAACCCTAACATCTTTCCTACATCATTAACATGGAGTTACCATGCAACCCGGCAATCTCACTCCTGGGTATATACCCAGGAGAAATGAAATCATGTATCCACACAAAAATTGGTACACAAATGGTCATAGCAATATTATTCATAATAGCCCCAAAGTGAAAATAATGCAAATATCCAACAATTAATAAAAAGATAAACAAAATGTGATAAATTCTTACCATAGAATATTATTTGGCAATAAAAAGAAATGAAGTATTGATACAGGCTACAACATGGATGAACCTTGAAAACTTTATGTTAGGTGAAAAAGAAGCCAGTCACAAAAGGCCACATATTACATAACTCCATTTATATGAAATGCCCATAACACGCAAATCCATAGAAACAGCAGATTAGTGGTTGCCTAGAACTGGAGGGAAGGGAGTCAGGAAAGCTTGTAGGAAAATGGGGAATGACTGCTAATGACTATGAGGGGTTTTTTGAGGTGATAAAAATGTGCTAAGGTGATGATTGTGCAACACTGTGTATATATATATTAAAGAAAAAACCCACTGCATTGAATTATTGAAATGGGTGAACTGTATCTCAATAAAGCTATTTACAAGAAAAAAAAAAGGAAGGAATGGCAGATAAGTATCTAAAGGTCACACACAGTCCATAATGCGACAGCGTGGGAGTTACCTTAATTAAAAGGAGTCACCCTCCCTTACTGTAATTACAGGTCAAAACTTTACTAGAATAATATGCTAAATTTGAGGCCTAAAGCTTAAGCAATGATGCAGTAATATGAAAAAGCTTCCAAAGACTATCTCAAAGTGCAACTAAGAGATTTTTAAAGAAATAATAACCATTAAAAAGTGCCTAAACTTCAAGTGTATTATTTAAAAAAATTAGATGTTTGGCATAATACCTTTTCATAGAAACATTCTTCATAGATTTTTTCAAAGCACACATTTTTCAAAGAAACAATGTTATAAATTGTTAGTTACATTCCTACATCTGCCAAGAAGGATGAATAAAATCCAATGGCATTAGCTGTGTAGCTGTACAAGTCAGGAGTGGGAGACCTGAGATTTGGTCTGAATTTTACCAGTTGGTCGAAAACTAGAGATCCTGCAGTTACAAATGAAGGAGCTGACCTTGGTGATAGTCAAGGTCCCTGCTTGTTCTTACATAGAACCAAAAGAATAAATTCACCTAATTCATTCATAATTTATAGCAGCATTTCTATGCAAACTGAATTCCAATTTCTAAAACCAGGAAGGTGTCTCCTTTCTGTGGGAAACAAGAGCAGCTCTTCTCTATGTGAGCATGAGCTAAGGACTATTAAGCTATATACATCAGGATACCAGTGACTTATTCTCTATTATTATTATAATTTCTTATTCTCTATTTCTGCTTCTAGCATAAGAAATCACCCTTTCCTATTCTGGAGTCAGAAAAGACAATTATGAAGGTCAATGTTCAAAGAGTTTCTAATTGGAAGACAAAAAGGCAGGGGAAGTAATGGTGGGGAAAGACAGGAATCCAAGAGTGCCCTTTGTGTACAGTTGTTCAAGGGGGATCACATGAACTGAAAACAAAAAACAAACGAAGACCAGTAAATCTACAAAAGGTAAACCCAGCAACCCTTATATACATGAACTTTTTAAAGTTTGCTTTATAAGAAAGTAACCAGTAATCACTTTCCATCTCCAATGAGTATAGAACAAAAGGGTTTAAGGACGAAGAATTTAAATTTGGCAAATGGCGAATTTTCCTTGACCAATAGAAACCAATGATAAATGTAGGAATGAGTGGCCAAGTCTGGTAGGCAGAAAAATGACCCTCCAAAAGACGTCCATGTCTTAATCTCCAGAACCCGTGAACATGTTAGGGTACACAGCTAAAGGGGATTGAGGTTAAGACCAAATCAGCTGATGTTAAAATGAGGCGATTGTACTGGGTTATCCAGGTGAACCCAATGTATTCAAAAGGTCTTTAAAAGTGAAAAAGGGGGAAAGACAGGTACTACCGATGAAGGGTAATAGGAAGGCAGGCAGGCAGGGACAAGCCCCGTCCCCGCCCTAAGAAGAAACCACCCTTAAAAGGATTTACACAGCCCTGGAAGGAGCCCTCCACCCTTTCCCATATGATACACAGGTGACAAAAATCTGATTGGATGACAGGCACAGGGAGCGTTAATCAGATTGAAACAACCCACCAACAAGCCCATAAAAAGCCCTAGACTCAGAAACTCCGGTGGCAACCCCTTTGGGTCCCCTTCCTCCTTGGAAGCTTGTGCTATCACTTTGCTATCGCTCAATAAACCTTGCTTCTCTGTCCACTACTGTCTGGTCTCCCTCTTCACACTTCGAAGTGGTGTGACCAAGAACTGTGGGCACGGACGGAGAAAAAAAAAATCCTGCAACACTATGATGTATGAAGGATGGGGTGCTATAAGGCCTTGACTTGCTCGTGTTCAAGATGTTTGAAAAAGGGGAGCATCAGCCAAGGAATGTAAGGGGTTTCTCGAAGAGGGAAAAGACATGGAAACAGATTTTCCCCTAGAGATTCCTGAAGGAAACCCGTCTTTTTCAACACCTTGAATTTAGCACAGCTAGACCCTATGTTGGACTTCTGACCTACAGAACTGTACCATAATACTTGTATTGTTTTAAACCACCGAATTTGTGGTAATTTGTTACAACAGCAATAGGAAATTACTACACCTTAAGAAAGACAAACATTCCATTTCTGTAAGCCTTTTAAAGCAAGATGTTTATCTTTCTGATACTTTACAAATGACGTCATTTAAAAAAAATCTTTGCGTTTCTGTATAGTAGTTGGAAGGTCTGTATATTAACATTAGAATCAAAGATTTCCTATGAAGTCAGAATGTTAAATTGGGTTAACAATGGTAAAGCGGAAAATCTAAAAGTTTCTTAAACTTTAATGTGTATGTGAACCTTGATAAAGTGAAGGTTCTGATTCAGTAGGTCTTCAGTGGGGACAGAGACTATTTCTAACAATTTTCCACGTGATACGATGTTAATCCTCAGACCACATTGAAGTAAGTGGATAAAACAATAACAGCCTCCCAGTTTCGGGTCTGAGTCTGAATAATCCCACTCTGCAAATGCCACCCAACAGTATATACAAACCTTTCTTGAACTTGGCTATCCTTCCAGTTAGCTTTGGGAGCAACCATATTCTCTAAGATAAAACTCTCCACCATAAAAAGAAATATTTCCTCTATTTAATTCCAGAAAAGCTACCTCCGAAGACCATAATTTCAAATTTTAGTGAAAAGTGAATGGTTCTATATACTTACTCATTTTATAGTTATTTTGGCCTTCAGACCAATGTCTCCAAACATGTTTTCCATCCAAAGAAAAGCAGTGATTGTTGACACAGATGTGCTCTAGAGTCACAAAGTCTGCAGCTGGAATCCTTGCCTGGCTAATAAATCGTATGAAACCTGGACAAGTTGCATAGTCTCTGAGCCTCTTTCATCATATGTAAAATAGAGAAATATTGCCTACCTTGTATCATAGTTGCAATGACGGCATGTTAAGTGCCTACTCAAATGTTCACTATGTAATAGGTCCCAATAAATTTGCTTTCTCTACTCTCTTCATAACTTTAAATCACTTTTCTAGTTTGTACCAAGTACATTTCCCCTTCTCTTATCCCGTAATGGCTCAAGATGTTACGCTGCCTTAAAAGTCAATCACCTTATCTGCACTGTCAAATCCGGGATGGTCCTTAATGCACTACCCAGCATACTCCTATTACTTGCCTTAGAGCTTCCAGTTCCTGATTTCCAGACTCCTTTCTTCTGTGGTCTAACCTAGTGCTTATTCAATAGAACCTAATGATGGAAATAATCAATTCTGAGCTGTGAAACTGTAGCCACTAACTACAGGTCTCTACTGAACACTTAAAATGTGGTCAGTGTGACTAAAAAACCTGAATTTCTTATTTTAACTAATTTCAATAGCCACATGTAGCTAATAGCTACCACAGTGTAACACAGGTATATCTGACTGCAAGTTCACCAGTGGAGAACAAAATGCTAACTGGAAATTCAATTCACCCTTATCTAATATCCATTCCCTTGTTAGAAAGATTGCCTCAAACACTATGCAACCATGATAGTCTCCCTGATACACAATTCAAGGTCTTGTGTAAATTGAAAAGCATTTACTAAGAGCCATAATGCTAGCAAATAGATAGAGCAGCTAATTCTTATTGAGATGCCAGGTACTGTACATACTGCTTTACCTAATGTGTAGCACTAAACATTTTCACTTGCTAGGTCAACCAGTTAATCTTCAGAAAACCTGGTGGCCAACAATAAGGTTTTGAGTTGATAATTAATAGCTGTTCCTAAAGAACTGTGAACAACAGTGTAAGTGTTGGTTTTTAATAGGAGCTAGAGGGTATGTTGGGAAGAGAAGATAACAGGCACTGGAAACATCAATTGTGATTACTGCATTTTAGTCATATAATCATACACCTATCAGGGTTTAGCTTGTATAAATGTCAACTTTTCCTAATGTCTTTATCAGCAGATCCATTAAAAACATTGAGTGAGGTGCCGTTTACTCAAATATCCAAGTACAGTTGACCCTTGAATAATACGACTTTGAACTGCAGGGGTCCACTTACATAGATTATTTTCAATAAATACAGTATAGTCCTCTAGAATTACTAAATCTTTACTAAAGATTTTAGTAACATTTTCCGTAGCTCACTTTACTGTGAAGAATACACTATACAATTACATAAAACATAAAAAATAAGTGTTAATGGACTGTTTGTTACGGGTAAGGTCAACAGTAGGCTTAAGTTTGGGGGGAGTCAAAACTTAAACACAATTTTCCAACTGCCCGGGATCATGCCTCTAACCCCTGAGTTGTTCAAGGGTCAACTATACTTCAGAAGTACCTATTGGCTCTACACGTGGAAAACTGGCATAGAAAGGTAACTCAAAAGTTGTGCCCCAGATCATCAGATAATGAGAAATTAGCACTGAAATTCTTATCCCAAGTGGAGACCAAAGGTCTCCAACTGTGAGGTGGTGAGGAGTAGGTTTAGGACGCCCCTCCAAAGACACTTAAGCAGGGAGGAAAACTTCCTAGCTCTGAAGTGGGCACATGTGGACTCTTCATGGTCAGGAGAGAGACCCTAACACACAAACCCTGCAAATCATATGCAAAAGACCTCATGGCCATAACTTCATCTACTCTGCACACCCCTGGACGGGCAGGCACTATTTTGGGTAAGGAGACGGGTCCGAGGCCATACTTCCCCTGGCTGTTACTACCCAACGCTCCAAATGGTTAGCAACGAGATCCCAGAAGCATTTCCTGTCCTGTTGAAAGCCCACAGCTCCCTTCACTAAAGGAAGAGTTATCAGGTGACTAAAGAAGTAGCCCCACAAAAGCAGAACAGCCACCAACCTGCCAGAGAGAGCGGAAGCAGAGGTACTTTCCGCGCCAGAAGGCAGCAGCGGCTCAATATGAGGGCTGCCATCTTGGAGCATACCAAGAGGATGAACGTCCGGGGATTGCGGGCAGAGGAAGGGGTGGGGTCATAGGCCGACGCTCCGCCCCCCTCCCCGGCTCCCGTAGTTGGTGTGGCCCGGGACAGCATGGCTGCCACGATTCGGCTGCGGAAGCACGACGTGTTGCAGGCGCTGCGGAGTTCGGTGTATCCCCGGGTGGGAGGCTCAGGCTCCACATGCTGCCGCTGCCCTCTCGGAGGTATCCGCGGCCTCTGGTCGTGAAGGAGGGGAGGATGGGAAAGAGGGGAGGTTAACACCTCAGCAGGCATCACTTGGGAAATAACAGCGCCTCAGTCACTCTCTGGCCTGGAGCTTTCGAGCTTGCTCTTTCGTCCTCTGGTTGCGTGCGTGTGCAGCACTGGCTCTGGGTGTCATGGACACCCGTGTGCCTGGGAACGAAAGGACAGCCGGGCTGGGGTCTCGACCTTGAGGCTGTAGTAGTCCCTCAGAGGAGGCGACGCTGTTGTCTGGAAATCTCTCCCCCTTGGCTGTACTGTTCTGCACAATTCGGTAGCAGAGGTCTTAGACTCTGAGTTTGGCGCCCCAGCTCTGCCGCTGATAGTCTGAAAGACCTTGTGCAGGTTTTTCATTTGTAAAATTGTCCCTTAATAACTTTATGGAAATGATTAAATTTGAATATACTGGTGAGTGATAATAAAATACTTAACATTTGGTGTCAGGTATTACTCTCTGCATTTAACGTGTATTAATTCCTTTTCTCTTCACAACCCTCGGTGAGAGAGTTTCCCATTCTTTTCTCTATTTACAGGGGTGGAAACAGCTAAGCCAAGTAATTAGCCCAAGGTGAGAGGAAAGTGGTAGAGGAAGGATTTGCACTCAGGCAGCACAACAGTACAATCCTGCTGTAACTGTATCTCTGGACTCTCTCCTCATAAATAGACAACACTTTTTTTATTGGTAACCCGTTATTGCAGTACAGAGAGGTCTTCAGTGAATGATTCTTTGACCAGGCTCCACTCCGTGCACAGCCAAGCATCCAAAAGAAATGTTTCCCAAACTTATCTTTTCTACTAAGCTGTGGTCAGTGATTTCTGATACATCATGAGGATACCAACAACCCAATTCTGAGAGGCCTTAACTCCTGATTTCACAAATGGCAGAACCAGGAATTCCAACGGTCACACTCTAGCTGTTTGCACTACCCTATGCGCTTCCACCTAGATAAACCGAAACTAAAGCTACCAGTTTGACGTTTAAACAGTAACCTTTAGTTTTGTTTTTTTGTTTTTTTATTCCCTTGTAATCCCATAACTAGATGGGGAATGTATATTTATTTGTCTTTCACTTCCCAGATTCCTCTCAACCCATCTCCATACAGTTAATCACTAGCTCCTTTCACACACAAAAACAAAACTTGCTGAGAATTTGAATTTTCCGATAGTTTAGAGATGTTTACTTTTCCACCAGGGTGACTTATTTGTAGCTGTCCAGATGGATTATTTATATTAAGTGAAGATCAGTTATTAGAAAGACGCGATCAAGTTCTACTCATGTTTTTGCTAAGTATAAGATAGTGAAAATGATTTTACTTTTTTCTTTGATTTTTAGCTAAAAGATACCTACTTACAGATAATATTGTGAAATTAAAAGAATTTCAGCATAAGAAGGTGGCTATTGCCTGTCATCTTCCTGGCACCAAAGGTAATTGAATCTGTTTTGTTAATTCTTTCATTAATGTGTCATTCACGTTTTTTCTCTCTTTATCTCTGTCTGAGAAAAAATTGACATGGATTATTCTTAATTTCCTAGACTACTCTTAAATGTACTTTTCATCTCACTTTCTACTACTACAGAGTCTACCACTCTCCTCTTGTCACTTTTCCCAGGATCCCAGAGAAATGCTAAAATTAGTGTTGGAATCAGTCCTCTCTAGATCCATGCCACCCAGACTAAGGATCACGGGGTCAGCAGCAACTGGGAGTTTCATAGAAATACCAAACTTGAAGCCCCAGACTGTTAATATGCACAGTAAAGTCTGAGAAGAACTGCTCGAGATGATTGGCTTTCACATTTTTGATGCACCTCTGAGTAAAAAGTATATTTTACATAGTATCTCCAGTATACGCATACATATATATACACAAGTGAAATATAGTGAAACAGAACTATCCCATGTGTGATGCATTTTCTTTTTTCTTTTTCTCTTTCTTTCTTTTTTTTTATATTCAGAGAGAGTGAGGGTGGGGGGGAGGGAAGAAGGGACAGAAGGAGAAGAGAGAATCTCAAGTGAACTCCCTGCTGAGCATGGAGCCTGCCTAGGGGCTCACTTGATCCAGTGACCCTGAGATCATGACCTTAGCTGAAATCAAGAGTCGGAAGCTCAACTGAGCCACCCAGGTGCCCCCTGTGATGCTTTTTCATATTTTTCTCCTCGGCTGAAAAAATCAATAGGCTAAAACAAAGATTTTTTTTTTTAATTATCAAAATATTAGTCATTGTTTAGCCTGGGTGATGGACACATGAGAGCATAATGTTCTCTCTCTGTTTTGGGCTATGTTTGAATATTTTTATTACAAAAAGCTGAAAACACACCACCACCCTAGGTCTTACTCCTTTCAGCATTTGGGAAATCTTGTTGAATTCATTCTCTCTCTCCTGCCCATTTTTTCCAGTACTTTAAATTCCTTTATAAACATAACAAGACTCCTCTCTTTCAGTAACAGTTTAGTTTGTCCCTACTGACTTTTTCAAATCTCCTTACTCTCACTGTCAAATGTTTCTGAGCACCTAAAAAACACTTATTGCTTCTAGCCCTCCAGAAATCACTCTTTCCTCACCTCTCCACTGATCATTTTGTTACATTATACCACCTGTGGAATGAGAACATAAACTCTAAAAGTGAGGGAGAATATGTTCATCTTCAGTATGGGAGACTCAGTCTGGATTTTACCTCAGTCTTCTTTTTACCCCTTTACCTTTTGGAGCTTTGTAAAATTGGCAGAATTAGGGTTTATGTCATTTTCTAGTTAGATCCAATTGTCATAGTCATTCTAAGGCTGGGACAGTTGTGCATATGTTCTGAAAGGCAGTTAATATAATAAGTGCCAGGTTACTCCATGGTCTGATTGATATTTATAAAATCCCATCCACATTTCTTCATTATAAAAACCCGCAATGGTCCTCTGTCATATACCACATTGTGCACACCTCCCTGACTTCCTAGCTCCTCCATAGTGGGACCTTACCCTTTCTGGAGTCCAGTATGATTTCCTGTTAATCTAGTCACAGGTCTCCTCCCAGTGCTCCCTCGCCCGCTCCATCCTGTGATATTATTCATGCTGATTCTCATACCAAGAATGCTCCCCTCTCCTGAGTTTCTCCCAACCCCTTCCTTCTCCAGCCCCTTCCTTTCTCTCTGGTACTGCTCCGCTTCAACCATACCTGGTCTGCTTCTGCCACCCTGATATCTTTTTTTTGTATCATGTGTATAGTTGGTCAAATGTCAACCCCTCCATCACTGTTTTCAGATAGCTTTCTATAAATATATCTTGTTTTCTCAAGTAGACTAAGGGCATGAACCATAGCTTAGCCTTCCCTGTGTTACAAGCACTTAAATCTTGATTATTTGTTTTAAAATGCAAATTACATCTCTTGAAATTTTGGATTCTCAAAGGTTATTAAAAAGTATAAGATATAAAGTCATCCCATTAAAATTTTTTATATTAGAAATTATTTAGAAATAATTAACAGAATAAATTCACTTAAATCTGACGAGTGACAGAATGAAGATGAGAATAATCTGTATGATTTACTGGCAGTTACTATGTGCTAGGCCCTGTGCTAAGTGCTTAACATACATTGTCTCAGGATACCCCATGAGGTAGCTCTCATGATCCTCACTTTACACGTGAGGAATCAAATCTCACAAACAAGCGTCTCCCCATAGCATACTAGTGGCAAAGCCCAGGTCTTTCCATCTCTAAAACCTTCAACCATGATATGGTTCTGCAAATAAAGATTGAAGGGTCCACAGCATTAACTTAAAGCAAATAGGCCTTCTTTTCTTGTAAATTGAGAACAGTGTCTGTCTCAGCTTCCCAATCTTGTGTTTTAATGTGTATTGTACCATTCCTTTAAGCAGCCTTCCTTCAAAGCTTTGGGTTTTAGAGCAAAACCTGTAGACTTTAATTGGCAGCTCACATGCTTCTTTGATGCCGCCCTTGCATCTCACCCCCATTCTGCTGAGAATCTGGTCCCTTCCTAATGCCAAGAAGCAGTGTTTCCTTTTGGTGTTTGACTGTCTCCATAGTCAGTCAAATACAAGATAGGGAACAGAGATAGAGCGTAATCACCTTAATATGATTCTGTTACAGAGAGTGCTTGCTGCTATTTAGAGGGTAGTTTTTTTACCCCCTGTGCATTATGTAGTTCTGTGGCATGCTTTCTAACAACTGAGTAGGGAGACCAAGATAAATGAGCAGTAGAGTTGAACCAAATGAAAGAGATGTGAAGTATTCCTGAATTTTGTGGGTCAGCCATTGGGGCAAACCCACCTTCACTGCATATTTTCCTTTCACTTTTCCTGCTAGGTACCCTGCCAATTGATGGTTTGGATGTCTTGGTTACTTTTTTTTTTTTTTTCCCTAATGGGTCACCTATGGGTACAGTTCTTTGAGGTAAGCCTCTGGTAATGAGTTCTTAAACTTTAATGTGTGGGTCACCCAGGTAGTCCAAATTGCATATTCTTGTGTTCCTACCCCCAGAGATTGTATGTTAGAAAGTTTTGAGTGGTCCTCTAGCCTATAGCACAGCTAGTTTGCTTCGTAGACCTTCTGTAACACTGTTCTTTAGGAGACTAGCCAGTGATGGGAGCTACGTGGTCATGAGCCCCTCTCAATGCCCCTTTGCAATGTGCCAGGATCCAGCTTCCCCTTCTTCTTGAGGCCAGATTCCTGATAGTCCCAGTCAGCCTGAGTGATGACCATTATACCGTGCTTTCTTCCAGCAACTTATCTGAGAAACAT